AATTTTTTTTTTCACTTTTTATGTCAAATTGAAAATTACTAAAAACTTATCAGGGGTAGTTTAGTCATTGCATACAAGTCAACCATCAATTTTGAAGTAAGGACGGTTGCTTCGTAAAACACAACATAGGGGGGTCCTTGCTAATATTTTTAACACGAGGACTTTTTCGGCAATTCAAAATTACATAGGGGGTTATGTGCAATTAGCTCTCCAAATAAATCCAACTCATTCAAACTTATTTGTAAATAAGGAAAGCCCTTTTATATATACCAAAATTACCCCAAATTCCTTGACACCCTAATTCAACTTCAATTTCATGATTTACACCACAATTTCACCAATTAACCAATTTGGACCCTTATTCCAGTTTGACCGCTTTTTTTTTTTTTTGTTTTCTATGAAAATTATTTTCCCGCAGGTCAACCTCCGGTCTCCGGCATTGACTTTTTTTTGTTGTAAACTTGTTTTTTCATAAAAAAATTATTTTAATTAATATTACTTTCTTGGCCTGCTATATTACTGTGTCCGACGGTAATTTAGCTGTCGGAGACAGTAATTTAACTATCTAAGACAGTAATATTACTGTCAGAAGCAGTAATTTTACTGTGTATTGATTAATTTTATCGTCTGGGCCTGCAATTTTGCTGTCTTCGACCGTATTATTACTGTCTCATGCAATAATATTACTTTTTGGGACAATAATATTAGTAATATTGCTGTTCGGGAAAGTAATATTCATAATATTATTGTTCGGGACAGTAATATTAGTATTTGGGACAGTAATATTACTATTTATGACGGTAATATTAGTAATATTACTGTTTTGGTACTCAATATTACTATCTCATACAGTAATTTTGTTCTTAACACAGTAATTTAGAGAGAAAAAAAGTTTCAAAAAATGATAATAATAAATAAAGTCAACGCCGGAAATCGGCAGGAAAAAAAAAATTCAGGAAAAAAAGTCAATGCCGGAGAACCGTCCGGCCAATGTCGGAATCCGGCCGGGAAAAAAAGTTCAGAAAAAATATTATTTTCTGAAAAAAAATTCAGAAAAAAATATTATTTTCTAGAAATTAAAGTTCCAATTCAAAGTATAAAAATTCAACTAGGAGGGGTGGATGCTGTTCTAATTTTCAGGCCTTGACCAAACAATATTAAGATCAAAAGTTTGAAAACTAACAACGAGGGGCAAATTGGAAAAACGTACAAATGCAAGTGAGGAAATCGATGTTTTTTTAAAATAGAAGAGGTAAATTGATCTCGACCCAGATTATAAGGGAAGAAAGTGGAATTTGTCCTTTATTTTTTTTTCTTCACAATTTGAAAAGTAACACATAAAACTATTTTAATGGTCAATTATTTCTTACAAAATCCAAGTGTGGCCTGTGTCGGCTAAAGACATTGAAGATGATATAGGAAGTTCCAAGGACTTCTATATTTTGTTTTGTTTTCGGCATTTTAAACCCTCAAATTACATGTTTTTAACATTTTAACCCTTTTATTGCAAAATTTGCAAATAGCCCTTTTCAAATATAAAGTGATTGGCACTTGGCACCCAAAAATCAATATTTTTAGAATTGTTTCTTGGGTTTAATATTTTTCAGTAAAATCACTTATGAAGATGTTTATATCATAAGGAGAACAAAAAAACTAATTAGAACAAAAAGATTTTAATTGTTGATTTCATATAGAAACAAGAAGAACAATACTTCTTGGAGAAACTAATTTTACAAAACTGTGGTCCTCCTAAACATATGTACATTCCTCTATATATGTATATATTATGTTCTGCTCAAGCGATATGTAAGATGAACGAATAAATCCTGACTGCAAGGAATAGTAAGGCCGCCCATTGGATGATGGAATCCAAATTCTTCTTCGGCTTGGCATAGCAAATCTTGAAATGAAGGATGGCTTAAATATGACAATGGAATAACAAATCTCTTCTTTTCATTTTCTCCAACGTAAACAGCTAAATGCCCCTTTGGGACTTCAGTTGATCTTCTTTCGTTGGATAAAGATCTTTTCAGTATTTGGCGGATGGCCATTTTTGTATGAAGTGTGAATCTTTCTTAGCTGAAGTATTTGAAATAAGTGAGAGCTGAGAAAGGAGTTGTTGATGATGGTTGTAATCAAGAAATGATGTTTGTATATATAGGCTATAAACAAATGATGTATCCTCTATGAAATTGAAAAAAACATAAGCATATGAAATCACATGGATTTGTCTTAAAAAAAAGTAAATTGGTAATGAATTAATTAGGCCAATAAGATGAATTTATGTGATCGAAAATGTTGTATCCCACCAGCTATAGCAACATGGCCCTTAAACATATATGTGATTTTCCATTTGCTAGTGTAGTTGGCAATGTTATCCTAAATGCTAGCTAAGTTATGTTTTGTAATCTAACTTATGCCACATTTAATTCGGTGGGTCTTATCACATTTTCTTGCTCAAATTTTGTGAAGTTTTAGAGACAAAACCATGTGATTCTTTATAAATTAATATACCCTTTGGCCACTTCGCAACCACTCAATCCAGCTAAGAGGATTATGGCATTTAGATGTTCATCTATATATATGTTTACACTACACATTTCTAAACTGACAACCAGCCTTCAAAACTCGATTTTCAAGATTTTCATCTGCTTCACTAAAGTACTCTCATATATTTCTTTATTTTCATCTTCAGCCTCGATCACCAAGATTTCAGTTCCAACAAAAATCGATGGCTATTCACAAAATTCTTAGACGGTCTTTGTCGGCTGAAAAGAGGACAACTGAAGTTCCAAATGAGCATTTGGCTGTTTATGTCGGGGAGAGTGAAAATAAGCGATTTGTTATTCCATTATCGTATTTGAATGATCCTTTGTTTCAAGAATTGCTATACCAAACTGAAGAAGAATTGGGATTTCATCTTCCGATGGGCGGCCTCACTATTCCTTGCAGTGAGGACTTATTCATTGATCTCACCTCTCAATTGAGCAAAACATTATATATAGACTAGGTTCTAGAGCAATAGAATTTTTGTTAGCTAGTCTCTTTACATATTTTTCATATCTGTACACACAATATACTTTGTCGGATACAAAATGTCTTCCCGGACAAATTTTAATGGTAGTTACAAGTTTTATCATAAGCGTTTTTTCGCATTTTTGCTTTCAAAAATTCATCTCTAACTTTTTGTACTTGTCAGAATATAAATAAGGCAACTCGGTCATTGAAATTTCATGAAACCCCAACAATTGAATCGGCTGAAGAGGTTGTACGTAACTAGCTAGTGCGGATGCTTCTATTTTTTGATCCGGACAAAGAATCCCAAATAACAATTTATAGCCAGGGATATAAATACAAGAGCACATAGCAAACTATTCTTTCGGCTTCTTTTTGCAAACATGGTGTGCTTGCTGCAATTCAAACAACATACGCCTCATTTTGGAGGGTTAATTTCCATTTGGGAATTTGCCCTAATAAATTAATCTAGTTCAATGTTTACTTATGTTAATTTGGTCACTGATAAGTAACAACATTCAAAAATATTTTTTGAAAGAGTGCCTATAATCAAATTATATTATTATGTTTCTAACGTCTGAAAAAACAGATATAGGACTTGGTTAAACTTGAGAAATGATATGGAACATTTGATTTGTGCTCAACGAGAGGTTAACTATATATGGATATAAAATATAGGAAAAATTATAGAAAAGACCCCATCTAAGAAATATAGTTAAAGAAACACCCCATCACAAAAATAATTAGAGAAAATCACCTTAGCTAATATTCCACTCAAATGCTATTTTAATAATTCCCAAACCACCCTTATTGATGTTAAATCTCATTTTCACGTTTCACAACCTAAACCCATTTCATTTACCGTTTCTTTCTTCTCCTTTTCTCATCTTCTCATCTTCTCTCTTCTCTTTTCTCTTCTCGACTGAAATTCGGAGGAAAAGCAGGACGTCGTCGGAGAAAATGTTTGACGGCGACCGACGACGGTGGTGATGGAAGAGTGTTTGCCGCTGCCTCCCGTCGCCGCGTGATGTGTGGTGACGACGGTTCTGTAGTTGGCGGCGGTGGTTTCCACCGACTACGCTAAAGCAGATGACTGACGCTTGTCGTCGAGGACGCAGTGGATTGACTGCTACAAGTGAGGCATGATATAATCACTGTTGCTATTGATGTTGCTAAGGTATTTTTTTTTTGTTTTTTTTTTGGTTTTTTTTTTAATTATTTTTTTAGTTTTAGTTTTGTCATGTGTTCAGAAATTATTTATGAAGTGCCCAAGAATGGTTGACAAATACCTTGAATCGTTTATGTTGTTTTTTTGGATATTGAAATGCAAATTTGTGTTTTTTTTTATAAGTTATTTATTTTATTCTTGTTAGGGATTGGTTTTTTTTTTTTTTTTTTTTTGTTGGCCAAAATATTTTTATTCCATTATATACTTGTGAAAGTACAAGAGGGCCTTCCTTAAAAATCTTATGGGCCTACACAAGGAAAAGAGTACCCCTACAATCGGAACGGAATAAAAACGGGACAATCGAAGTCCTATACAATCGATTACTAAAAAACCCAAAAAATGGGTTAAAAAGGAAATAAACAAAAATTACTATGTCTAATAAAGAAAATCTTCGAAAATTGCTCAAGGACCTCATGTGTGGATGAAAGTGCAAATACGCACAAGAACCACGTGTAAGTTGATATTCCTGCTCACCAATACAAAAATTGCAATTCGACCCCTTATTAAATTGAGAAACCCACATGTCATCATAGGTCCAAATCAACTTAGGGGCGGAAATTAGCAATCCCCAACCTATCACTGATCAAAGTAGCCCGAACCTCCACTGAAAGACTAATTTCGGTAAAATATTCTTGACTTGATTGGTGATTATACGCCCAATTAGCTAATCGATCCGTCACCGTATTCTTTTGACGAACTACGTGCTTGAAAGAAGAATCCACTTCCTGCAAACAAAGCCGAAGAATATATTCTAACTCCCATGTAACGACCTTGGTTTTAATTGCATTAATAGCCAACAACGAGTCACTCTCCACCGTAACATGAAGGATCCCCATGTGCCTACACATTCTTAGGCCATAAACTATAGCCAAAAATTCCGCAGAGTTGTTCGTGCCATGCCCGAAAAATGAAGAATATCTAGCAACAATATCCCACCTCGAATCTCTAATAATACCGCCTCCTGAACTCATCCCACCTTTTGCCGAACCATCTGTATTAATCGTATACTTTCCTGTCGGAGAAAATTCCCATTTATGCCATGCCCCCCGTTTATGAGGCGGCTGCACCACCGGAAGACCAGCGGCTTGAATACGAAGGCTTTGAATCTTGGTAGAAGATTGCTTGGGACGATGCAAAGCCACCAAGCTCTGCGTATGGTAGTAAACCTTACGAATAATTTCCGCACTTGACATATCCCCATCAGCATATACCACCCAGCACCGAGCATTCCAAATTTCACGAAAAATGTGACATACCACCGAATTCCGAATCATCGCATAAAGAGAGAGATCGGATGGCCGCGGGACCCAAACGCACAAAGCATGTTTGGGCGACTCAAACCGATCTTGGACTTGGAAAAGGGAGCCGAAGTGCTTCCAAACCCGTACCGCAAGCTCTGAGTGCAAAAATAGGCGAGCAATATCTTCCGAGCAAGGCGATTAGGAGCAAACACATCTTGAAGCCAATGGAATACCCCGAGAAATTATTCGTTGATCAACCGGCAATGCATGATGAATTACCTTCCATAAAAATCCACTAGTTCGATGAGGTAAGTAAGGCTGCCAAATACGAGTTGTCCACGAGACGCGCAAACGTGGCATATTAATATGACGCCAATATTCCTTACTCGAAAATTCACCAGATTGAGTGAGGGTAAAAATGAAACGATCCGGTTTATTCATCTCTAAAGTAATTTTCTTCATCTTTTTATGCCATTCTTGTGGTATAATTTGCAGCAGGTCCGCAAATTGGGGCCAGGCTTCCGCAATTGTCAAGTTATTATCGCTTGGTAAAGGTCCGACTAACACCTCTCCTAGCCAATTATGTGTCCAAAATTTAATAGCACCACGGCCCACCAACCATTCAGTACAGTCCGCTAAGCTCTCCGCATGGCTACAAATTGACATCCATAATGGAGAGGCGGATCTCCTTGTAATATGAACTCATTTATCACAATACTTCGCCCGAGCAAATTTGGACCATAATGAGGAATTTTGCAGCACCTTCCAGAATAGTTTAGCATGTAAGCACCGCATGACTTGTTTGAGATCTCGAATACCCAAACCCCATTCGTCAATAGGGGTACAAACCGTTTTCCATCTCACCCACTGGGTCCGCGATTCTCCACCAGAGCTCCACAAGAAAGAAGACATAAGTTGTTCTAGACGAACAAGAACAGAGGCCGAGACTTTGGAGCATGCTAGCTAATAAATCGGGATGCTTGCCATAACTGATTTAATCAACGTTAGTTTGCCCGCAAATGAGAGAATTTTACCGTGCCACCCTTGAAGTTTACCACGAACTTTTTGTATTAAATATTCGAAGTATTCAGCCTTGGTACGACCAGAATAAATCGGTATGCCAAGATATCGGAAGGGCAGAGATTTACGACGAAAGCCTGTCAATTGTTCAATAGACTGACCCACAAATTTAACCCACTTACCCACAAACATGTTGCTTTTAGACACATTCACCAATTGCCCTGAAGAGTGTTCGTAAGATTTTAAAACCTCCATAAGAGCTTGCATAGATTGTGGGATAATTATACTTTTCGTCCCTATACTTTACCACTTATTCGTTTTTCGTCCCTAAACAAGTTGGAGTGACATTATCCATCCCTAAACAAGCCATTTTTCTGCTATTTTCGTCCCTCCGTCAATTTGGCTGGTTAGTTTGGACAGAAAATAGCATGTGCTTCGCACATGATACGTAAGAGCCAACCCCTCTTTAATTTCAGATTGCATCTTCTTTAGAGCATAATTCTTCTTTTCCAAATTGCTAATTTCTTTAATATCACACCTCTTTGGACTAATAAATAGCCTCGATAATTCCCAAAAGACAATTTTTTTCCATCATACAAAAATCTGATGCAATGCAATTTCTACTTTGAATTAATATATTTGGATTTGTTGAATGAAATTTATAATATGTTAAGCTACTCAAAAAGAATTCTTTGTTTTGTTACCTATTGAGGATTTGCACGATTTGCAATTCTATAAACTTTAATTTAGATTGCCTACCCTAATTGGTCATTATATCACCAACTGACTTTGACTACTCATTTAAACAAAAAAAATTGTCATGGCCGGTGTAGGGGATATTAAAAAAAAACTGATGTAGTTGCATGTCTTGTATATTCATTAATTCATGCGCACATATTGCAAAAATTTATTTCACTGTATGTTTTGAGTTCAAATATGAAAATTTCATGCAAATTCGAAATAAATATTATTCACCCGACAATTGTATCGTTTACAGTCAATTCTGGTCAGAATTTCCTTTTAATTGGGTGGGAATGGGTCTCTTGCATGGTGGTGGTTCGTTTCCAAAGTTGAAATGGGTATTTTGGGAATGTGCATGATGGCTCGTTTTCTCTAGCAAAGTTTAGAGATGAGTTTTGGTGGGTGCCAATGCATGGGTAATTTGAGTTAATATATATGAGTTGGTTTCACTAAGCATATCACCAACAACATACACGTGAGCGGCCACGTGGATTAATAATCATCCATGTCAGCAGCATATATTGAGATTTTCAGGTCCACGTCAGATTTCCATCCAAAGTAACAGCAAGAGTTAACGGCAGGACGAAAACTGCTAAAAAATGGCATGTTTAGGGACGAATAATGTCACTCCAACTTGTTTAGGGACGAAAAACGAATAAGTGGTAAAATATAAGGACAAAAAATGTAATTATCCCCATAGATTGTTGCCCTCCATTCGAGAAAATAAGTATGTCATCCGCATACAAAAGATGAGAAACCACCACTTCATTTCGACCAACCTTGAATGGAATAATCTGTTTCGTCACCATTTTCCGATTAAGATTGATGGTCAAAATTTGTTGTGCCAAGATGAATAAAAGAGGAGAGAGGGGATCGCCTTGCCTAACCCCGCGGGAAAATTTGATGTTTCCGGTCAGGATTCCGTTGATGTTAAAAGAATAAGAGATGTTGCAAGTATTTTGATAAATCAAATCACATGATTTATGGGAGAAACCAAACGAGCACATGGCCTTCAAGAGAAACCTCCACTCT